TCTCTCTCTCTCTCTCTCTCATTCTCACTCTCTCAAAATAAATAAATAAATCGTTAAAAAAAAAAAAAAAGGACACGTATTGAATGGAGCACTGGGGGTTATACGCAAACAATGAATCGTGGAACATGACATCAGAAACTAATGATGTAACGTATGGTGATAACATAATAAAATTTAAAAAAAAAGAAATATAGAAAAATCTATGCCAACAACAGCAAAAATACATCAGAGGGCACCTGGGTGGCTCAGTTGCTTAAGCATCTGCCTTTGTCTCAGGTCATGATCCCAGGGTCTTGGGATCGAGTCTCACATCGGGCTCCTTGCTCTGCAGGGAGTTGCTTCTCCCTCTACCCCTCCTCCCACTCGTTCTCTCAGTCTCTCAATCTCTTTCTCTCTCAAATAAATAAAACCTTTAAAAAATTTAAAATATACATCACAATTTTACAGTGATGTAATTTTTTTCTTATGAAGGAATTAGATACAACAGCATGCCTGTCAAGAGTTGGCCAGGAGTTATTTCATACAAAAATAAAAAAGAATTCATAACACAGCCTCTGCTATCAGAGTGGTGAAAGATCTGTTGTTTAGAGATGAGGTGCTTGATTCGAGGTGCCTGGGGAGTCCTTGTGCCCTTACCAAGGACCGCTCTCTGCAGCATGTCGCCAGCGGTGCAGTCACTCCCGGCAGCACTTGTCCTTTTGCAATCAGTTCCTGAGGACTCCTTTTTTCTACTAGAATTAATGATCTGCTGCATCAGTATAGGACTAGAAGGACCTTAAGGCCTGAGATGGGCGCCTTCCTGAGGAGGAGACCTTGTTTCCATACTGTCCCAGGATGATGCTGCCATCTTATTTTATTTAGGCTTCATTATTGCTGGGAGCACTGTCAACTCTTAGGGAAGTGTTAGTTCATACTCAGATTTTAATGCTGTAAAGTGTGAGTTTTCCTTGGTTGCACAGGCTAATAGGGGAAGACAGGGAGTTATCCTGCTCTTTCCCTGTGACCACTGCATTTAATTCTTTTTTGTGAACTCATGACCAGAAAAACTGTAGTTACTAATTTAAAAAGCATATATAACACATCAATTCTATTACAGAACATTTTGATTTAATATACTATTTCTTAGGGAAAGTGAAGGACAAAAAAATGTCTCCACTGTTCCTGGGAAAACAGGAAAAAGAAGAGGAAGACCCCCCAAACGGAAGAAAGTACAGGAGGAGATTATAGTGAGGTAAGACATTCGTGTTGGTCTGTGCCAGTCATAAACCCGCATGCTTAGAAGGGACCTTAATTTCACTTGTACTTTCATCCCTGCTTGTGCCATGGGAAGGATATGGGACTTAGATTATAGAGACCTGGGTCTCAATCCTCACGAAATTACCAAATGTTCTAGGGAAGTCCTATCTGCATGACCTACCCTCTCTAAGGCTATTCTTTTATTAGACAATAAGCATACTACTAATAATAAGGATTAGGTTGAACAGAATAATGAATGTGATAGTGTAACAGACTGAAAACTGTTAATGACCCACAGAAAGTGCTCAATATGTTTATACCACACATTTTTTTCATAGGAGTGTAGAGCAAGTTAATTTTGATTAACCCTAATAATCAGCATTTTAATAGGATTATATATCAGATACAATTTTAGGAGTTAATTCTTTCCCTGTAAGCAGATTTTAGTAGCAGATATGCTTTACTGTATTTAGAATTTAGAATACAATTTCCTACAATAAAGAACAGGTAAGATCTTAGTTTTATACTCTTTTATATTTAACTTTAGCAAGGAAAAAGATTCTATTACATTTGGGAAATTGTATTTTATACATAATGCATGATCTTTTAGGAAGTTCTGCCACATGTATCTTAATACAAGAATTTTGAAAATCTGGCATATACTGTGTAAATACACTTTCTGGAAGTTAGGTCATATTCTTAATATTTCTAGTAACAGAGAACAAACCACTTCTTCCCTCTAAATTGTAGAACTACTAAATCTAAATGCTTGAGGTAGGCCAGATTTCTTCTTGTTGCTTATTAACTACTAAGAAGTATTGGTTTTTAGGAATCAGATTATAAATAAATCAGTCAGGATTTTATTTTTTTTTTAACCTAAGAATCAGTGTTTCACTTAACTTTCCAGAAATTTGACTACAGAGTATAGCTTTCCTCCTATCCATTTTGTGAGAAATGTCCTATAATCATGTTCTGTACACATGACATCTGTTGCAGGATTTTGTTAGCAATCTACATTTTTCTTATAGATTCAGAAAGCTGTTTTAGGTTTACCTATCTTCATTTCCCTGTTAAGTACTAACAATTAAGGTGCCTCAGCGTTGGGAATATAGAATCATTTTAAGCATATGTGGACTTGTACTACCCTCTACTGGTGATTTTATCCTGTAGAGCTCTGTATCCAGTACAGTATTTATATATTTTTTAACTAAATAAAACTTAAAATTCAGTTCCTCAGTCATACCAACCTTATTTCAAGTACTTAGTAGCCACCTGTGGCTCATGGCTGCCATATTGTACAGTGACAGTACATTTTCATTCTCACAGAACGTTCTATGGAACAGTATGGCTATAGATAATTGAAAACAAACAGAAGATCATAGAGAATGACCTACATGATTCAGGGATACAAATAGCAATGATACTTAACACTGTTGTGCTGAACACTTTTGAAATTTATAATTTAATCTTCAATATCCCTGTGAGGTAGGCATTATTTATAGCCCATTTTACAGGAAATTTAATTAACTTTCCGAGGTCACATGGTAAGAGGCAAGCCTTGATAGGGGCAGTCTGACATTAGAACCTGTGTTCTTAACCACTGCCTTACAGGAGGTTAAATTAAATATGCCTTAGCTTCATTATAGCCCTGATCAGGAAGGAGGACATCTCTATATAGAATCCCTATAGTTTGGGGCGGGGGGACGGTATTTAACTGTTAACACTTAACTCCTCTGATTTCCAAAAAGCTGTTTTAAAACCTATAATTTTCCTGTTATATAGGATGTTACCATTACATTGGGTTCCTATATTATCATTTTCCCCCTCTGTACCAACACACCTACATTCTAGTCTTCCTTTACTCAGTAGAGTAACTTTGTCTCATTGAAACAAACACACTCCTTGTATTACATTAATTGGGTCTAACTTTTGGGGGAAGCACAGAACAATTTTGGACATGTCTTTGTTTTAATTGGTGCCTCCTTTTCCTGTTTTTCAGTGAAAAGCAGGAAGAAAACTCCTTGGCATCTGAACCACAGACAAGAAATGGTAATGACTTTTGTTGGAGTTTAGAAAAGATTAAGTAAACATGATTGATTTATATTATGGTGGGAACTCACTTTTCAGAGTCCTGCAGAGCAGTTAAGATGAATGCAATATAGTGCACCTGGGTGGCTCAGTCGTTAAGCGTTTGCCTTCGTCTCAGGTCATGATCTCAGGGTCCTGGGATCGAGTCCCACGTCGGGCTCCCTGCTCCACGGGAAGCCTGCTTCTCCCTCTCCACTCTCCCTGCTTGTGTTCCCTCTCTCGTTGTATCTCGGTCAAAAAAATAAATAGAATCTTAAAAAAAAAGTGAATGCAATATAGCCTCGTTAGCCTCCGTGCCCTTCTTCAGTTCTCTCTGTCACACTTCATCTGTACCCGTTTCTCCATCTCATTGATAACTGGAGATCCTCCCTTGTGTCCTCTAACCTTGGCACAGTAGGATGGACACCAAACACTTGGATGAACGAGCAGCTTCTCAAAGAGTTTTTTAATGTAAAATGCTGTGTAAGGGAGTGTATTGGTTTCCTAACCTAGATTTCAGTTCTTTAATCCAAATTGCATAAAACTGGCAGAGGGGATAGTACTACTTTACAGTATGTCAACATAAATGAGACAAGGAATACTCTGCAGAAGCTCAAATCAAAACCATTTGAATAAAAAGTATATTTAAGCATTTCTAGGATATTAAAATCTGTAATTACAAAGGTCACAATAGTTAGATTTGTATTGCTCTTAGGCATTCTTAATTTTTAGGTGTAAATGGTGTTAGTAACAGGAAAATCAAAATTATACATTATCAACTTTAAAATCCTTTTTTTTTCCCTAGGAAAAAAAAAGATGTATTTATCTGACAGAGACACAGCAAGAGAGGGAACACAGGGGGAGTGGGAGGTGGAGAATCAGGCCTCCCGCAGAGCGGGAAGCCCCATGGCAAGGCTTGATCCCAAGACCCTGGGATCATGACCCCCAAGCCGAAGGCAGACGCCCAACGAATGAGCCACCCAGGCGCCCCTAAAATCCTTTTTTTTTGGATTCCATGGTTTTCATAATGACCTAGGGTGGAAATTGAGGATAAATAGAAAAAAAGGTCCTAGTGGGATCTATCTAATTAAGCCATCCTTTTCATTATTAGAGTCCCAAGGGCCCGGTCAAGGCACTTGGTGGCTCCTGTGCCAAACAGAAGAAGAATGGAGACAGGTCACTGAGAGTTTTCGGGAGAGGACCTCCCTTCGAGAACGGCAGCTCTATAAGCTCCTCAGTGAGGACTTCCTGCCCGAGATCTGCAACATGATTGCCCAGAAGGTATGCAAACGGATGATTCCTCCCCTCTGCATTATTTAAGGATGATTCATAGAATTTTTGAGTGTATTTCCACTGTCTCCTGGAAGTGGTACAAGCCTTCACTCTCATCTGGAGTGTTAAAATGGGACGTTATGCCACCCACTCTCCTTCACTGTGGATATTCTCCTTACCCCATGAAGTCCTCCATGCCTCCCACTCCTAGTACTTAGAATGGCTTTTCACAGTCTGGAACCAGCTTTCCTTCTCCCATAGCATTCCCCAGGAAATGTTCCCACAGCCCCCAGTATGTCTCCTATCACCCGTGCATACTTCTCTATATATGCTGCTTTTTGGAGGTGGAGGTAAAAGAATCCTCTCTCCCACTAAGCAGCAAGCTCTGAGGAGTATTTGTCTCTGTAGTTGCAGTGCTAGCTCTGCCCAGCTCTGTTTATAAGCTGTGTGTGCTGCTTTCTCCAGCTTCAGCACCTGATAGTTTCATAAACCACATGTTCTATGTTTTCAACCAGTATACAGCCTCGTGTGTGCCTTCTTCGAGCATCTTTCCCCCTGTACTTCTCTACCCATTTGAATACTACTCTCCATAAGCTGTCCCTTGTTTCTCCCAATTTTAAGATTTTCTTCCCTAACATGTTTTCTCATTACTTAATTCCATTTTTATTTGTTTAAGCCTTTTTGGATTAGGCACCATGTCTTACCATTTGAAACCCCACAGCACCTAATGTAATGGCCTTTTCTATGGTGGATGCTCAATAATAATTCACTTTGCTTATTTCATTTCAATAATTCTAATACTTTTGATGCACATGTTAGTAGAAACAGACAAATTTGACCACCTGCCAATGAAATCTGTAGAGAAAGTATAAATTAATTGCTGCAGTACCTCCAAGGAAAAACAAAGTAAGAGATATATTAATTTGTTGTGAATCCAGTGATATTTATAACTTTTAAGTAGGTTGATGCTTTGAAAGGATAATTGTAGAAAGTCACCATGCTCTAATAGTAGGATCTTATAAATAGTGCTTCAAGAATTGTATTTTCATGGATGAGCAAAAAAAATCTGCATTTCCCCATTAACATACTTAATTCCATATACTATAATTACACTTAAGTTTTTGATCTGCAACCCACCATGCCAGTTTTTCCAGGAATCGCAGCACATAATCTGATTTTCTTAAAGTATTATGTTGAGATGGTTTTTATAACTTTACATTAATAACATGGTATATGACTTTATTGATACAACTAATGTAGCACATTAAATCATCTATAAGGTATATGCCCAATCTGCGTAAACCTTTTATAATTTCTTTCCTTTTTTTTTTTTTAAAGATTTATTTTAGAGAGAGCGATTGTGCACAAGTGGGGAGGGTGGCAGAGGGACTAGGAGAGAGAATCCCAAGCAGACTCCCCACTGAGTTCGGAGTCTGATGTAGGGCTCCATCCCAGGACCCTGAGGTCATGACCTGAGCTGAAATCAGGAGTTGGACACCACCCAGGTGCTTCTGCTTTTTTACTGCGGTATTCAACCTAAGATTTTTTTGAATAGGTAAACTAAGGGGGGAAAAAATCTTATAAGCAAAAAACTGATGGTTTTGATGCAAAAAAATTCAAGGGTTGATTCTTTTCAAGAGAATAAAAAAATTAAAAATAAGGTACCCCTTAAGTATAATTCTGAAGGAACATGAAATTACAAGCTGAACAATAACAATAATGATAATAATAATAGATTTGGTATTTTGTTTTTTAAAAGATGTTATTTAAGAGAGTGAGAGAGTGTGTGCACAAGAGCAGGGGCAGAGGGAGAGGGAGAAGCAGACTCCCCTGCTGAGCAGGGAGCCCAACATGGGGCTCGATCCCAAGACCCTGGGATCATGACCTGAGCTGAAGGCAGATGCTTAACCGACTGAGCCACCCAGGCGCCCCAGATTTGGTATTTTTAAAGGTGTATATTGCTCTAAATTTGCAAACCTCAGTGAAATGGGGTATTGATTACAAAAGTAAGGTAATCTAAATTGTGCAGTAGAAATGTTAGCAGACCAGTAAGTAGGGGGGAGGAATTGTCACAAAAGGATGCCATCAAGAGCTCCAGAATATTTGGATTTATTCATAGGTAAATTTTCTAAACCTTCAAGAAAAGGTAACTTCCAAACATTTCCAAAATGAAGAAAGAAATGGGTAGCTCCCCTTGCTCATTCAGATATACATATTGTAGATTTCTCTTCCTCATATAATTGAACACACCCTCTTCATTCAGTAATATAAATGTCAAGTCCTTAATGCTAACAAGTAAAAGCCAAAAGAATAATAATTCATAACCCATCATAGTTAAACCTAAGCTCCTGATACTGGTAACATTGTCTTGGAAGTTTTATCCAGTGTAAATATGCAACCAAAAAGAGTAAGAGGCAAAATATTAGAATATTTTGCCTAGAAGAATATGATGAATCTGCTTAGAAGTCTAATAATTAGAAGTTAGCGTTAGTGCTATGTAACTAGACTTCCCGCATCAGAATCACTTTGCACGCTTATTTTAAAAGCTCAAGATTCTTGCCAGTGTACCACTCCCCAACTCTGTCAGTATTGTTAGAACTGTTATCTGTTAATATGTAGTTGTAGAAACTCTTTAGGTGATTCTATGCATAGTGAAGTTTAAAGATCACTTAAAATAATCCCATTTACAGTAGCAACAAAACAAATTTTCTGTGAAACTAACTCAAGTTGTACATAGTAGATAAAGAAAAAGCAAAAAACTGTAAGTAGATACATCCTTTTTATATGTCATGTAAATATGTGAAGATCTTTCTGTTCCTGGAAGGAAAGAGTAAGTTTAGATACCAATATTCACCAAGATGAATTGAGATTTATTGTAACCTTAGCCAAATCCCAAGATAATAAAAATTTTCCTCCAAAATATCAGGTTGTAAATATTATAAGGTGTTAGGAGCAGTTGGAGGGCTAGCCCTGTGTATTATCGCATAAATCTGCATATTGGAAGCATTCTGTCAGGACCTTCATTTAATAGACCAGCTTATCATAAATGATGTGCTTATGGCAGTACAAATGTGTCAGCTCCTCACAGTCTTTGCTGAACTTGGCATTCAGCAGTTAAGGTATATGTTCATCAATAGTTATAGTGTTTTTACAAACCTGTTTGCGTCCATTGTACTTGTTACAATAATTACAGAATTAAATATATGAAACCAATAAAATATGAGCATAAAAATTTTTTTCTTTTTTTTAAAGATTTTATTTATTCATTTGAAAGAGAGAGAAACAGCATAAGCAGGGGGAGAGGCAGGGAAAGAGGGTGAAGCAGGCTCCCCGTGGAGCTGGGAGCCTGATGTGCTCGATCCCAGGACCCTGGGATCATGACCTGAGCAGAAGGCAGATGCTCAACCAACTGAGCCACCCAGGTGCCCCTCTAAATTTCAATTTTTTATTAGTAAAGTGAAAGCTCTAGCTTCACAGAAGTTTTTATGGGAATTAAAGGAAACCATGTCAGTGTACCTGGCATAGTACTTAGTTACCAGTAGGCACTTGGTCCTTCCCATTGTTTTTGGCTGTGGATAATTGGTTAGAAACCTCGGTAGAAAACTAAACCCACATTTCTCACCAAAATAAATGCAAGTCCAAAGAGAGTTAAAACATAAAATAGGGGCTCCTGGGTGGCTCAGTCGTTAAGCGTCTGCCTTCGGCTCAGGTCATGGTCCCAGGGTCCTGGGATCGAGCCCTGCATCGGGCTCCCTGCTCAGTGGGAAGTCTGCTTCTCCCTCTCCCACTCCCCCTGCTTGTGTTCTCTCTCTCACTGTGTCTCTCTCTGTTAAGTAAATAAAACCTTTAAAAAAAAAAAAAGATATAAATCTTGAAAGGTAATGCTAGTCCCCTAAACATTGAAATAATAAAAGAATCAGAAACCTGCTTTGACCATATAACAGTTAAGCTTTTATGGTAAGCTTTGAACGAGGATATAAGCTAGTAAAAGTATTTGTTGCTAATGTTACAAGCTGTAATATTTAGACAACTTAATTAGATCTTTAACAAACGAATTGACTAAGAGGACAGATAATTCATACAAGAGTATATAGTAAAGTTGTAGGGGAACAAATTCATCTTCTATATCAAGAATACCACCTTCCACATTAGTAATTTTTGTCTGATTTGGCAAAGTTTGGAGTCAAGGGTCAAGTTGGTATTGGCCTCTGCTGCTAGTATGGTAAACTGCCACAATACCTTGGGGAGTTCCATGGTAAATTTTCACATTTATTTAAAATGAAGAGCTCTTCCTCTTGGGGTCTTGAAGCTCGTAAAGGAGTTGCTCATAGACGTATTTGAGGAAACTGCTGTGGTAGCTTTTGTGAAAAAGAGGGTCATGACACACTGTTGGTGTGTTGTCAAAGTTGACAGTTGGATTCCTTGCATTTGTACTGAGGCCTAGTCAATCTAACACGAATGCTTTCTAAAGCTTCTCTTTAAATCTACCAAAATTGCTTTGCAGTATTTTTATGTTGTATAAACCACACCATTTTGTCATCTGATTTTTTTTTTCTGTCCTTTGTGCCTTTACCTCGTTGGTTCTTCAAGTCTGAAGACTTTGGATTAAGTGGTGCCAAAACCAAACCTGGGTGATGCGGATACTGGTATTGAAGCCACAAAATTACTGAACTGCAAAGCCTTTGCTGACCACCTCAGTATAGGTTACAGTGGTGAAGCTATGGGCTTATTCCACAAAAATTCCAAATCTTACGCTGACCTTAAAAAATTGCTTAGTCTTAGATAATTTGCAAGACTCCTTTCTTGAAATGTCCTATAATGATTGCCTTCAAGCTCTTAAATTTTCTCAAGGCTCTCATCTTCTCAGGCAAGCACTCTTGATTTCTAGTCACTGAGTCTTTTTCCCCACTTCTCTCTTGCTATTTGATTCTCAGCCTGGGCAGCTCCTCTCACTTCTCACTACTGCCACTGAACTGCCTTGTAAAGGGGGGGAATTCTACCTCCAGCTGCTCATAATGCCCTCATTCAGAGCCATTCCCTTCAGCGGAATGTGGTAAAACATGCCTTTCCCTTAATAATTTGAAACAAAACATTTTTTTTTAATGTTTAAGCAGTTAAGGGAGTTTTCTGCTAGTGTTAAAGATTGACAGAGGAGACCCTTAGTGTCTATCAGTTTTTTTGTTTTATTTTTTTAAGAGAATAAACTGGCTTGTTACCTTCTGGAGTGGAATAGTCATTTTTACTGACTGTCCAAAGGATGCCTTTGGCTCTCATCTTAGGTAAAGCCATCACCTGTGTGCCTTAAAGGCCACTCTTCTTCTGGCAGCAGCAGCAGTAGCTGAGAACACCCTAATCTGTCTTTTCCTTTCTTTTCCTCACTTCTAACTATAGGGAAAGCGTCCACAGCGCACAAAGGCAGAGTTGCAACCTAGGTGGATGTCTGACCACCTGTCCATCAAATCCATGAAGCGAGAGGTGAGTGTGTGTGAGAGTAGAGAGGAATTTTCAGTGTTCAAAAGGATTGCTCCATTTTATTTCAGGTACTCCTTTTATTCCTACTTTTTAATTTAACTTTGCCTCAATTTTTAGATCCCAGACCTTTATGGAGCATTCCTATACGTAAGATGCATTTTTAGAAAGGGAAGCAATTTAAAAAGGATGACACCAGGTTGTGCTCTTTTGGATCTTGCAGTTAATCTCCTAGGATGATAAATAATGTCCATATTAAATCTAATAGAAATGAGAAGGATAAATACTATAATAGATATATATGTAGTAGAAGTTCATGAGTGCAAAGATGGAAGATATTAGTGGTGGGCAAAGAAAGGGGAGCTGGGACAAGCAGAGCTATATTTCTCCCAAACCTTGCAGGATAGCTAAGATTTTGGTGGTGGAAGAGTAATATACAAGAGTAATATAAACAAAGCACAGAGGCAGATGGATATATCCTGTGGTCAAAGAACAGTTTATATTTGGATTTGTGTCTGGCATATAAGATATGTTGTAATATATAGTGGAAGAAAATGCTGAAACAATCAGATTTTGGAGCCCCCTGACTATCAAGCTTATCTTCAATAGGCAGGCGGTAGTAGTAAGTGAGTTTATGTCATTGGATCTTTGTTTTAAGAAGGTACCCCTCTGGTTACACCATGATAAATGATTTTTAAGAAAAAACTGGAAAGTAAGAAATCATTTAGTGATAATATACTTGCAGCAGGAAAGAGCAGTGGGGTCCCTGCTGTTGGAGATGTGGGTTTAAAATGGAGGAGATGATGGGGGTGGGGTGTGGCAGGAGAGGTCATTAGAGAATGGTTGGTGTGAGGGTCAGGTTGCAAGTGGATGAGTAGTGAATAAAAGTTCTCATGGATTATCCTGTTGTGGTTTTGAGAAATATGACAATGAAAGAAAACAAATCATGAAAAAGTAAAGAGGAAGCAGGATTGAGGAGAGCTTGTGGCAGTTTCCTTTTTTAAAATTGGAGATGTCGCATGGACATGAAAGATGTCCATGAATGAGAAAGGGAATGCATGTAGCTGAGTCTGATAAGATGACGTGCCTAAGAGGCAGGGTCTTGCCAGGGAATAGAGTTGCTCCCATTTCTCAAGTTAAAGACACAAACTTTTGATGGGGCAGGAAGATATTAGGAGTTCATGTTGCATGTTCCGCTGTCCTCTGAAGGTGGAGATAGGGCATCAGGTAGGAGTGGAGATCTAATGAAGACACAACATTTGGGTCAGCAACTAATGTATTAAAAAAAAGGTTTTCTAGCACCCAGGAGCCAACTATGTTTGGGTATTTTCATTTTGTAACCTAGAGTAGTTAAATGACTTTAGCATCACACATGGAGGAAGGGACAGAATTAATACTTATATTTACTGAGATTTAAAAATTAGCAAGATGGTAATGGAATGAGGCCCAGGGATTGCAGGTGTTGCCATATTGGATGCTAGAAGTCAGGTAGGAGAGGGAACTGTGAAGGATGGAGCCAGAAAGAAGGCAGAGGCGGTATTAGTGGAAGTGCGAACTCTCCAGATCCCTCTTCCCATTCTCTGAAGTTTCTGGGAGGCACCTCATGCTCAGGGCCCTCCATCCTCTAAGACCTCCGTTTCCTCACTCTTCCTTCGCTAGAGGATTTTCTTTGTTGCTGCTAATCTCACTCTCGAGTCCAGTCTCTGTGCTGGCCAGTTCTCATATTCTGTGTACTTTTCAACCTTTTAACTACTTTTAGCCTTATGTTTCATCGAATATTACATAGTTTAGTGGTCTTAGAAAGTATGGCACCTTCTTAGTGCCTCAGGGTGATGTTTTCATGACTCTTAAACTGAAGTGACAACATGGTCGTTTATTACAGAGATCTTGTCGTTAACTAAGTGTATTCTACCTTGAGCCTAAAGAAAACAAAAAGTTAGTTTATAAATTTTTATTTACTTAAATACATTTGCATGTATCCTTTATTTCTCTTTTTTAGCTCATAGATGTGTTCTTGCCAGTAGATAAATTGCCCAACACTTAATTACCTTTGGATTGACAATTCTTTAATGACTGACTTCAGTCTCCCCAGTCTCGTTTCCTGTAGCAGTCATTGGCTTTGGAATGGCCTTTGCTAATTGGTATCCAGCCATAGTTCTCAAATGGTTTTCTAGTTCCTTTTGTTTTGTTGTGTCCTCTCCACTTTTCTTCAATACCTTGACAGTTAACACCTCCTTGAAAGTTCTCTTTCCTATTTTCTGTTCATTGCCCTTGACTGAGTCCTAAATGCCCTAGCGTACATTGCAGATTGCATAGTAATCTGAATACAGACCAACGTGGCTGTAAGCAAAGCTTAGCTGCAGACACGAAAATTTCTTCTTTCAGTTATTCTGAGCAGTGTTCCTCTTTTTTTCTGCTGTCTTTAGTTTTAGATATAACTAACCATGGTATTGCAGAGATCCTGAATATCTGCTCCAATACCCAGTTATCCTAGAGAAAACTTAGATGTGGCATGAGTTTTGTGCATTTGTTTAAGCAGCAGAAAATCTTCAGGCCGTTAAAGCCTTATAGGCAGGGTGTATGACCTATATTGATCACCCAGGAGTCCAATCTTTTTGCCTCGAAAAGTCTTTTAATTGTGACTCCTGGGGAAATATGAGCAAAGGGAGGTAGTCTTTCTGAACTTTGGGATTAGGGCTGCATTGGTTATTTTTGTCAGGAGATTCTGGACATTGCTGTTGCTAGGGAGCTCTTTGTGGTAGTATAGTCTCGAGTGTGCTACTAAAGTTGGCAAGGGTGCTAGGGTGTCTGGTAACCTGCCCTGGGTGAGGAGGGAGCACGGAAGGGGAGTCCTGGGCACCGCTTCAACCAGATTCTATTTATAATACTTTAGAGGGTTTCAAAGTAGTGTTTCTAATTAGCTTCTCATTAAAATCCCTCCTTGATTTCTAGCACGTCTCTTTATTAATCTATAAAAGATGTAGATACCACCTGGTTTACAACTGACCCCCCCTTTTTTTTTTATTAAAGATTTTTATTTATTTATTGAGAGAGGATGGTAGAGAGAGAGCATGAGAGGGAAGAAGGTCAGAGGGAGAAGCAGACTCCCTGCTGAGCAGGGAGCCCGATGTGGGATTCGATCCTGGGACTCCAAGATCATGACAGCCGAAGGCAGTTGCTTAACCAACTGAGCCACCCAGGCACCCACAACTGACCCCTTTTAAAGAAAAAAAATTGCAGTGCCAAACAGTGTAAGAATTTTTTTTTATCTTTTCAGTTTTTTGTTTTGTTTTTGTTCATTTGGGTGTACTTGTTCTTTAAACTATTGAAGTTTAAAACACTACCAAAAGTGTCTTCAGGCAGTGAATCCTGTCTTTTAGTGGTATGTTCATTAACACTGCTGGAAATCAGAACAGTAACTTTTAAAACACTCTTGATGCACTTGAACGTTTTTTCAGGTGTATATGATGCAATTTATATAAAATAATAATTGTTGAGAATTCACATCAGATAAGAACCGCTGAAATTATAACACATGATGAAAGAGAACCTCCTACCAATTTACATTCCCACCAACAGTGCATGAAGCTTTCCTTTTGTCTACATCCTTGCCAACACTTGTTACTTCTTGTCTTTTTAATGATAGCCAATCTAACAGGTGTGAAGCAATATCATCTCACTGTGGTTTTGATTTGCATTTCCCTGATGATGAGAAATGTGGAGCACCATTTCATGTACCTGTTGACCATCTGTGTGTTTTCTTTGGAAAAATGTCTATTCTGGTCCTCTGCTTATTTTTTAAATTAGATTGGTTTTTTGCTATCGATAAGTTTTTTAAGATGCCATAAATTTAAGTTAGTTATTGTATCTTATGTGCTTGGCATAAATATTAATGTATTGGGGATAAAAAACAACTAAATAGATACATATTGTATGACTCCATTTATGTGAAATATCCAGAGCAAGTAAATCCACACAGAGAGCAGATGGGTGGTTGCCAGGAGCTAGAGGAGTAGGGAGTAAGGACTGGCTCCTTAATGGATTCATTGTTTTCTTCTGGGGTGCTAAAAATGTTTTGCAACCTAGTGTAGGTGTGCTTACACAACACTGTGAATATACTAAATGCCACTGAGTTACACGCTTCAAAATTGTTAATTTTATGTGAATTTCACTTGAAGTTTTAACAAAAAACTATATGAGAGTAAGTTTTACATGTTTTTAAATGATGTAGGGCCTCTGATTTAACAGCAATTTTTTACATCTATAATTATCCTGAATTTTAAGATTCCTGCTTCATTGTTACCAAAATAAACTATTCATAATCAGTTTTTAGTACCTCATCTTAAAAATTGAAAAGTTCTAACCTTTAACATATTTTAGACTTTTAACAGGGAACATATAGCAGAGGGAGTAAAAAGTTAATAAAAATTAGATCATTTTAGAGTATGTCCTACTAGTTCATTTCTCCAGTTTACTTGGGAAGGAGTTGTTCTGAGTCCAAAAGAATTTAAGTGCGCTTATAGAAAACTTGAGGGAATATATTAGCATACTGTGGAAGACCTAGTAATCTCACAATTCACAAATCATCACTCCTACCTTTTTACCTATTTGCTTCAGGCCCTTTCTCTACGCATTTATTACAAAACTGGCATCTTATTGAATATTAATTTGTCATCTGTGTTTTTCATTTAACATTGTGAGCATTTTCATATTTCGTTAAAAAATTCCTCAGAACTACAACTTCTGTTGGGGCACCTTGGTGGCTCAGTTGGTTGGTTTCTGCTCAGGTTGTGATCTCATGGTCTTGAAATCAAGCCCTGTGTCAGACTCAGGGCTCAACTGGGAGTCTATTTGAGATTCTGTCTCCTCCTCCATCTGCCCCTCCTCCTGTGCACCCTCACACTCTCTCCCCCTCTCTCCCCATTTCTAAAATAAATAAATCTTAAAAAAAAAAACTTCTCTTGATTTTATAGTGATGACTACATAATTTTACCCGTTATTAAACATTTAGTATATTTATAAGTTTTCACCATTTTAAATAATGTTGACTCAAACCTTCTTAGAGAAATATCTTTGCCTGCCTATCTCATTTTTACAATAAAGTCATAAAAGTGTAATTACTCCGTTTAGGGTTCTTAATATATATATTAGGACAAATAATATATTTATATAAATATATATAAAAATATACATATATATTATACAAATGGTCCTCCAGAAGACCTGTGCTACAACAGATGGCATTCATTTTACCACATCTTTACAAATGTATCACTTCTAACCTTTCACATTTTGTAAGTGAAAAGGCTATTTTACATTTCTTTTTGATCATGGACAGTGGTTTTTATCTCCCGTGAGTTTTGTATTCATGTTCAATCTGTTTTTTTGGGGGGGGGCTATTGTTTGTTAACTGATTTGTGTTGGGGGTTTTTTGAGAGAGGGAGCTTGTGCAAATGGGGGGTTGCTCCACAGGGAGCCCAATGCAGGAGTACACCCTGAGATCATGACCTAAGCCGAAAATGAGTTGAACACTTAACTGAACCACCTATTGTTAATTGATTTGTAAGACATCTATACATATTAAGAATAATAAATTGTCATATTGCAAAAATAATTATATAGATATTCTTGAGATTTATTTATCTTTTTTTCCTTTCCCCCCTTCCATTGACTTCAAACATGAAACACCTCCCCTGTTTATTTACAGATGACTCTTTGGTGACTTAATACTTCATTCACATTAGCTTGAATTTCTTTAGTCCTTATTAAAATGCTGACTATTTAATATCCCCTTGTACTGGTTGAAAGAAGAATATTTCACGTGTTCTCACCTGCTGTCCTTTGAAGGAAGGGGCAGAATATACATTATTATTATTATTTGTATGTAAATAACTTACAGCCTGTACACCTGTTTTTCCTCTCTTTTTTCGTTGCATCTGACATACATGTAGAAAGTACTACGATTTTACTGGGATGAAATAATTCCTTTGACCAGGCTTAGCTTTCCTCTGTCTCCTCCCCTTACCCCTGCTTGGAGTCACTATGTAACTGAAAGGGGCAAAGGCAATTTGTTTTGGTTTGTTAAATAGTTCCTGATAACTTCTGAGCTGGGTAAAAGTGTTACCAAAAAGTTGGAATAATGAAGGACTTGTGGGGTGGGGGTACTTGTGTAATGGAGAGAAGATGCTTAAATAGCATTTAGGAGGCACTAGCTAGAGATGCATTCCTCAGAAGAATTTTCCTTAATGTCAGTAGACTCCCCATTTCAGAAACAATATCTAGCATATCTAAACTGCCTGCTCTGGTTATAGGATAAAGATTTTAGGGAACTTTCTTTAGTTTTTCAGTGTTAGGTGTGTGATGATGGTTTTTATTTTTTTGGTTTTTTGGGGGTTTTTTTTTGGTTTATCTGGGTGTTTTTTTTGTTTTTTTGTTTTTTCATTTTCATTTTCATCTCCTTTCTTACTCATTTCAGATTTTTACCTTGTAGTAACAAACTCTTTTAAACTCAAGCTCATAGGATTTGAAAGGTCAAGTGACTTTAGGAAGGTCTACTATCTAGGCAAGACCACTTCCAAATGCAGACTCAAATGAGAATCTGAACTTGGTTCCAAAGACCAGTTTCCGTGTTCAGTGAAGACTTGTAAATGACTTGGAAATGTCAATCTATGTTAGTCTCTTCTCTCCTCTTTAAGACCACTTTTGTAATTTCCATGGTATGAAACCTTTGAAAATTTATCTAGCAGGTCTTCTTCCTACCAAAAAGATCTGTGAAGAAGAGCTTCACATTCTTGATTAAGGTTTATCTAAAATGGGATAATACTATCTTTTCTATTAGGGTATTGTGAATTCTTCCTTTTTTTTCTGGCTTTTTTTTTTTTTTTTTTAAGATTTTATTTGACAGAGAGAGGCACAGCGAGAAAGGGAACACAAGCAGGGGGAGTGGGAGAGGGAGAAGCAGGCTTCCTGCGGAGCAGGGAGCCTGATGTAGGGCTCAATCCCAGGACCCCGGGATCATGACCTGAGCCAAAGGCAGACGCTTAACGACTGAGCCACCCAGGCACCCTGAATTTTCCCTTTGTTAATACCGGATTCATTTTTCTGTCTCTGCAACTTGTGCATGTTCTCTATTTCAGGCAACAGTTACTACTTCTTCAATAACAATTTTTTTAAAAGTTCTAGCTTTCATATCAGCACAAAAGTCAAGGGAAGAAATGAAAATAAATAATTTCAGCCCTAGCTTCACTATTCTGGTTTCCAGAATGGCTCAGATCTATTTATATTGGAAAATATGCAGAGTAAAACTTTTAATAGATTATGATGGTAATAGTCCTATTTTTCTTTATCTTTTGTTAGATTTCTTAGGCAGTCACTTTCCCAGTGATCGACTGAAATCTTTGTTAATGTCATTTATGTGAAAAACAAGGGAAAATGTTCTCCAGTCTGAGTAATTTTATGAGTTTCTGTGCAGTTGCCTTTCTCTTTCCTGTATCTTAAGGCAAACTGGTGGCCTCTCTCACCAAACTCCCAATTTTATTCATTGTTTTATTTATAAAGTATAAATGTTAAGGGTTTCAAAGTCTTGCACATTGAAATTGTGACCCTGTGTTCTTTCATTCTTTTTAAAGTTTATTTAGATGAGAGTACTTTTTAAGATGTCACTTTTATTAAATATTAAATCTATAACAGTGGTGTCTCTGAACTGCCTCAGTTTCTTTTCTCTGGTCCAACATGCAGGATTATCTCCCAAAGACTACAAATTATGTAAACATTGGGACCAAAACTTTACCTTATTTCAAATAGCCATTGTGTTTTAGTGTTAGTTATATATCTCCATATGTTTATTTTATAGATGATAAAATTAACTTGTGGTTATGATATAAATTCCCTATCTAATATTATTTATTGAATAGGTTGAATTCAGTAAAAATTGAATCTTAGTGCAAAAAACTGATCTTACGTTACTGTATGTTGACTCTGTACACTTAATTGGCTCTTTATAGGAGACCCCTGTGCTTCCCCGAATAGAAAAACAGAAGCGCAAAGAGGAGGAGGAAGAACGTCAAATTCTTCTAGCAGTGCAGAAGAAGGAGCAGGAGCAGATGTTAAAGGAAGAGAGGAAACGAGAGCTGGAGGAGAAGGTCAAGGCAGTGGAAGGTATGTGGGCTTTCTGCGCAGTACATGTGGTATGGGAATAGCCCTCCTCTGGCCAAAGCCAAATCAAACTAGGTTCTATCCTAGATCTGAGCTACTTCCGACAATTTCTATTTAAATGTCTTGTTAATTGCACTCTTTCTTGTTTATTCTTCTGGATCCAATCTCATTGCATGTGCATTCCTTCTACATACTTGTATTTGTTATTCTTGGTGTTCCTTTCAGTCATACCACTTATTGCCCTCATCTGCACACATCCCTCATGTAAAATAGAAAAAATATTAAAGTATTGATGACAAGTTTCATAGAAATTTTTTTTTTTTTTTTTTTTTTTTTTTTGAGAGAGAGAGAATGAGAGAGAGCACGAGAGGGAAGAGGGTCAGAGGGAGAAGCAGACTCCCTGCCGAGCAGGGAGCCCGATGCGGGACTCGATCCCGGGACTCCAGGATCATGACCTGAGCCGAAGGCAGTCGCTTAACCAACTGAGCCACCCAGGCGCCCTTCATAGAAATAATTTTAAGCACAATTGAAATGTGTAAAGAAAAATCTTAAAGATTTTTTTTTTTCAAGTATGGCATTATACAAATCTAGAGTACTACCATTGATTTTATTAGGACAAATCATTTTTCTCAGACTTGGGTCTAGGTTTTGGTCTTAGTGTAATGAGATTTCTCTTTCATTTGCAGTTAGTACAAAGATAATAACTGTCCCTAGATGTATGAGATAGCAGTGGTATTTATAAGCTAAACCTGATAAATCATATGGTAACAAATCATCTGCTTAGTTGAATACAGACTAGTATTTCTTCCTTTCAGGTAAATTTACTGAATTTTTAAATTTCTGAATAAAACTGCACAACCTGGATTTGACTTTTTAATGCAGTCTTTCAGTGCAAAATTTAAATAAAATTTGGCTGTAAAATTTAAAGGATTCTGGCCTTATTTATGTGCGTTTTTCCCTCCCATTCCTAAGTAGTGCCTTCTATTTTTTCATAGGTTAACCCCATTCCTACTGTGATCACTTCTTCATTATAAAATCCTTACTTAGTGCATTTAATCTACAAATTTAGCCTGTGTGACAATATGTCGTATATCCTACTTGTAAAATGTTTCATAGGTTTCATTTCCAATGCTAGATTTAAATTCTCAAGACAGTAACTATGGCTTTAATTTTGTATAGTTTTTAAGGGGACTCTGTAATTTTCAGTGTGGTTTTTTATTTGCTACAACTGTTCCCATTTGACTTTTATACAGGTTCAAAACTTATTTTTATGGTTTAGTTTCTGTACCTGTAAGATTAATAATACCTATGTTATAGATTGTTCTTTAAGTCAACAAATATTTTTTGAGCACCCATTCTGTGCCAGGCTTTGTTCTAGGAATATAGATATTAAACAAAAGACGTTAATCCTTTCATGGGGCTTACATTCCAGTGATGGAAAAACAGAACAAACAGATATTGTAGAATCATATTTGGTGGTGAAAGATCTAAAAAATAAAACCGATTTAGAGATAAAGAGTGACATGATGTCAGTGGCATTTAAATAAGCTTGTCAAGAAAGCCCTCTCTGGGCACCTGGGTGGCTCAGTTGGTTAAGCGACTGCCTTTGGCTCAGGTCATGATCCTGGAGTCCCGGGATCGAGTCCCACATCAGGCTCCCTGCTCAGCAGGGAGTATGTTTCTCCCTCTTGTGCTCTCTATTTCTCATTCTCTCTCTCAAATAAATAAATAAATCTTTAAAAAAAAAAAAGAAAGAAAGCCCTCTCTGAATATGTGACATTTCGTAATGAAGTGGATGAAGGTGCCATATGAACATCTGACGGGGGAAGGTAGAGGAAACAGCAGGTGCGTGCACAGGCCCTGAAGAAGGAATATGCAGGAGGAAGGCCAGTATGGACCAAAGAACAAAGCAAGGAAAGGTGGGCAGGAAATGAGTTCATAGAGGTAACCAGGGATCAAATCACGTAGGGCTGTGCAGACCTTGTTAGAGGGATTAAATAAAAGACAGGTAGTCCCTAGCACACAGCAAGCTCACAAATGATAGTTATCATGGGGAAAATGTGGAGAGAATTTTTACAGGCTATAAAATAGTTACAACAATAAATTTTTACTGAATTCTTGGAAGCTAAGTAAAATAGGCAGAGGCAATGATGGATTTTTTTTTTCTTTGAGAGAGAGCATGCGAGTACAAGTGGGGGGTGGGAGGAGCAGAGGGAGAGGATGGTAGAAATTTGAGCATACTCTGCGTTGAGAATGTATTAAGTACAAAAGGCACAAGCCACAAAGGGAGAGAGATTGATAATGTTTTACTACATGAATTGTTTAAAATTTACATAAACACCATAAACAAAATGGAAAGACGAGTCAAAGTAGAAGCTAATTTTAACACATAACCATCAAAGACTTATTATCCAGATTCTTTAAAGCCCTTCTCTAGGGGCGCCTGGGTGGCTCAGTTGGTTAAGCAACTGCCTTCGGCTCAGGTCATGATCCTGGAGTCCCGGGATCGAGTCCCGCATCGGGCTCCCTGCTCAGCGGGGAGTCTGCTTCTCCCTCTGACCCTCCCCCCTCTCATGTGCTCGCTCTCAAATAAATAAATAAATATTAAAAAAATAAGGCACTTCTCTAAATCCGTTAGAAATGCAGCAACCCAAAGGAAAAGGGCCAAGTATATATAAGCAGGAAATTCATACAAGAGAATGCTAAATGGTCAGTAAACATGAAAATATGTTCAATATCACTCCAGTCAGGAAAATGCAAATGAAAGCATCAAAATTCCTTATCAATACTTATCAGTTTGGCAAAAATGCTAGTTTTATCATACCAAGTGAGTGTGAGATAATTCCTATCACTATGGAAAGAATAGCTGTACCCCTTTGGAAAGCACTCTGGCAATTCCACTGCTAGGTGTACATCCCAGAGAATTCATACATGTGCCCGAGAAGGCGTGTCAAAAGAATTGTCGTTGTATTATTTACAAGATGCAAAAAATCGCAACCAACTAGAAAGAACTACTGTATTAAGGTTACTAAAGAAAAATGTTAAAAATCTGCCAGTTTGTTAGGTTCATGGATATTCATTAACTGTTACACTTTAATCTTGAAATCATTTTTTAAAAAACCGTATAGCAAAGTGCCTTTGACTAATTAAAGCAGATATAAATTTAAGTTTATAAGTGAATAGTGTAAGAACAAAAACACAAGTCAAACAGAACTAGACAGAGAAAACACTTAGCAGGGTCATGTCATACTCCTAGCCAGGGTACAGGTGTGCAGCCTGTGCCTTAGGGAAGAAAATAGAAGATGTGTCCTGGTTTCTCCCTTCCATGTTTATGTCTTCTGTCTGACAGTGTTCTTTATCTCCCTGCCTCTTTTCTTTCCTCCTGACCTTCTGGCTCCCTCTGGCAGTGAGTGTCCCATCAGGCTAGTAGTGGAATGCCAAGTGTGTTTCTCATGGCTATGGCTAGGAGCCAGAAAAAGATCATCCCTGTCTTCCAGCTCCTTGCCAATTCCAGCTGGCATCTTTCCCTTGTTCCCAGCCAAATTTATGACTACCCCTGGCTTGGTAAGGGCCAGCTGCCAGTGGTAGGGGTGGATTGAAGAGCAAAGACAATTGGTGTGCAAGGATGCCTTTGTAAATACGAAACCCTGAGAGCTTAGATATGCATATAAAATCCTGTATATGTTTGGATTGAAAGTCTGGTCCTTAAAAGGGGGATGTTGTTTTTCTGAGAGAAAGATTGGAAAGGCCTCAGGTATTCAAAGAAGGATAATCTTCATTCAATCTTCTATTTTTTCCTTTTTTTTTCTAATTCTGTTTTTCTTCATCCTTGCTCTTTCCTCCCTCTCCTTCCCAGTGCCTGCCCTACCACCCTCATCTCTCCCCAGCCCTTGAGCTCAATATGCATAAAGGAAATGGGTTTCACAAGTTTATTTTTCATAAAGCTGTAGAATCATCCTAATTACCAAGAGGATGGCAAAAGAAGCAAAAATAATTTTATGATATAGGTGATCTTTGTTTCTTTCCTTTCTCAAAATGATTAACAAACATCTAATCTAATCATCTAAGGAGTGCTTAACCTCACTTGTACTGTAATGCACTGTGTTCATTGTAGATCGAGCAAAGAGGAGAAAGCTCAGGGAAGAAAGGGCATGGCTGCTGGCCCAAGGAAAGGAGCTCCCCCCAGAACTTTCCCATCTGGACCCTAGTTCCCCCATGAGAGAAGAAAAAAAGACTAAAGACCTGTGAGTATTTAATGGTGACAACAGTAGCAGCCAGTAACATTTGTGAAGCACTCTGACATTGTGCTAAGCACTTTTCTCATTTAATTCTTAAAACAACCCTATGTGGTAAGTAATATTCAGTGTTTATGAGCTTCTCATTCTTCTGTATGCCTTTTTGTATTATTATTCTTTAGGTTACAAAAATATTCATTAGGGTAAAATAAAACCCAGGAAATAATGTGCTCTTAAATAACCAGCGTTATTGAATCATAAATTAAGTTGTGGATCATCTTAAGTCAACCCTATCATTTTACAGATGATGAAAATGATACTCCCTTTTTTTTTTTTGCTTAGGCTTGCTTACCTTCATCTTCATAATTATTTTCTAGAGATTATCAGTTTTACAGACTTACCTTAAAAACAGTTTATTGGGACTGTCCCAAACCTTGGTGTAATCAGCTGTGTGTCTGTGATTGAATTAAGAGAGCTGAGGAGAGAAGGTGGTCAAAGTTACTATTTCTTATTTTGTGATTCACAGCTTTGAGTTGGATGATGATTTCACTGCCATGTATAAAGGTCAGTTCCCATTCTCAACTATTATTATTTCTGATACAAGTACTCCAATCAAGTGCATTAATTAAGCTCTTTTCTTTGGCTTTCAGTTCTAGATGTGGTAAAGGCTCACAAGGATTCCTGGCCCTTTTTAGAACCTGTGGATGAATCGTATGCCCCAAACTATTACCAGATTATTAAGGTAGAGGCTACCTTTGCAGTTATACTTACTATGGTGTTTGTTTCTTTCTTGATTTTTGTTGCTGGTTTTTGTTTTAAGTTCACCTGTTGTTCCTTGAAAATCAGGGTTGCTGGATATATGCCAGGCTCCTGGGCATTTCACAGTGGCATGATTCCTTTGCCTCATAAGGACTACGAGATGTTTTTTCTCCAGCTTGTTGTAATTTAATGTGTCCTATTTTAGGTCCCCATGGATATCTCAAGCATGGAGAAGAAACTGAATGGAGGTTTATACTGTTCCAAGGAGGAATTTGTAAATGACATGAAGACTATGTTTAGGAATTGTCGAAAATATAACGGGGAAAGTAGTGGTAAGTGGGGAAGGGGTTTGCTATGGATACACTTACTATATGCCATTTCAACCAAGAACAAAATACCTTCTTTTTTAGAAATACACAAAAATAGAAGTGAATCTCTTTTAGAAATGATTCAGACCTTTCGTTGGGGCTATAAACAAAGCGTACATTTAAAGCCGTGGGATTGGCCATTCTGACCACTTAACACAATATGTGCCAGAACCACTGCTATCCTGTGTGATGAAAGAATGTATCTCTTGGCTAACTGGGCTCAGGTTATTTTTCATTATCTTAGAGACCAGTCTGGGTTTAGTTTGTACTGCACAGAGACCGCTAACCACTGACAAGACTGACCGTAGATTCTTAAATCATCTTGAGATGTCCATAGAGTAGATGTCTAATAACAAAGCATGTATGGCTCCAAGTATAGAAACTTGGAGTCATTTATATAGTAGCTCAAATGGTTTAGCTTAAAAACTAAGCAGCTTTGGGGTGCCTGGGCATCGGAGTCTTGATTTCGGCTCAGGTCATGATCTAAGAGGTCATGAGATCAAGCCTCACGTCCAGCCCTGCATTCAGCAGAGAGTGTGCTTAAGATTTTCTCTCCCTCTCGTGCCCCCAATTTCATTCTCCCTCTCAAATAAATAAGTCTTTAAAAAAAAAAAGATAAAACTAAGTAGCTTCAGTGACTGTATTTAATAATTCTGCCATTTAGCCTTAAAGAACTAAATCTGTCTTGCTTTAAGTTAATAGTCCTAGAGTCTTAGTCCAGCCATATAGCCTATAGCCTCTTAGGACAAAAACAGTATCTTCATCTTGTGTCCATAGCTACACAACATAATATCACTCGAGTTGAATTAAGCTCGCGAGTTTACCCAAATAGCATCTTTTATTTGTTGGTAAGAGAATTGTCTTTTATGTCCTGTAAAAGCTGTATCTGGAAGTCAGTCCTTGTATCTTCCCATAGAATATACCAAGATGTCTGATAATTTAGAGAGGTGTTTCCATCGAGCAATGATGAAGCATTTTCCTGGTGAAGATGGAGACACAGACGAAGAATTTTGGATCAGAGAGGATGAAAAGCGAGAGAAGAGACGGAGCCGGGCTGGGCGAAGCGGTGGAAGCCACGTTTGGACCCGCTCCAGGGACTCTGAAGGGCCCAGCAAGAAACAGCAACTGGTGGAGAATGGAGGGAAGTCATTGCCACCTGCCCGCCGAGCTTCTTCTGGGGATAATCAAAGCAGCAGTTCCACACACCTCCCTCGGGAGGTGGGCACCTCCAATGGCCGAGGCTTTTCTCGTCCCCTACATTATGGTGGGATGCCCAACCAGGCACCCCTTTTAAACCAGATGGTAAGGAATAGCTCAAAATTCAACAGTAGTTTCTCCTAGTTGGTGATTTCAAAGAGAAGTGAAGCCTGTTTAATTCACTCCTCTTCCAAAGTAATTTTTCTATATATGGATGATTTCTTCTCCCCTCATCTATCCTTTCTTTATTCATTCTTCCTCTTATTTTAAATCTTCTTTCTTTTAATCAATCTGATGCACTTTCAATGTGGGCAAAAATTGGGATTTTAAAAACTTTTCATGTACAAATCACAGAAATACACATAGTACATAAAATATACAGCATATCTGTGGCATTAAAATTTCATGTTGAGGGGCAGTTGGGGAAAAATTGTCTTAAAGGGCTCTTGGGGGAGGAGGCACTAATGAAAAAGAGATTAAGAAACAGCAGTTTTTCTGTCCTGCAGCAAGAGATTGCTTTGGGCCCGAGAACTAGCCCCGATCTGGGTGAGCTCATATGCTAGCCTACTCCAGGAGCGTCCTTGTTTTCTACCTAATGTCTTCTGTGCTTTCTCTTTTTTTCCCCTCTCTTGCCTTTACTCAACGCCCTCCAGAGGCCAACAGTACCAGGAACATTTGTCCCTCTTCGAGGATCAGATCCTGCCAATTTATATGTCTCCTCTAGGGTCCCAGAACCACACCCTGGAGAACCTGTACAGCAGCATCAGCCTTTTGCCATGCAGGTAAGCAGCCTACTTAGAATATGCAAATGCAAAAGGTTCCACAGATAAACGTCAGAAATAGTCTCTTTCCAGGTTAAATTCAATTCATAATCTTCCATTCTGTAGAGTCTCTTACTATAGATTAAGCCCTTTCCATGTTATGCCTTATTCTGTGGGTCTACTGAACTCTGCTTTCTTCTGTTTTCTTGTTGCCAGCCTCCAGTTGGAATTAACAACCACCGAGGACCCAGGCTAGGCACTCCGGAAGAGAAGCAAGTGTGTGGGGGGCTGACACACCTTAGTAACATGGGATCACATCCTGGATCCTTACAGCTTAGGCATATGGGTGGCCCTAGTCAGGATGGAAATATTTATCCCCCAACGCAATTCCAGTCAGGATTTATTCCTCCCAGGCATGGTGGGGCTCCAGCCCGACCCCCAGACTTTCCTGAAAGCTCAGAAATTCCTCCCAGCCACATGTACCGATCATACAAGTACATGAATCGAGTACACACTGCTGTCTGGAATGGGAACCATGGTGCTACAAACCCAGGACCCTTGGGCACAGATGAGAAGCCCCCCATGGGGCCAGGACCCTCTCACCAGCCTCGCACTCTTGGTCATATGATGGATTCCCGAGTGATGAGACCTCCTCTCCCCCCAAACCAGTGGACTGAACAATCAAGCTTTCTACCTCATGGAGTTGCTTCTTCAGGGTATATGCGAGCACCCTGTAAATCTGGTGGACATCGGTTACAGCCACCTCCGGCCCCAACGCCAAGTTCTCTTTTTGGAGCACCCTCCCAGGCTCTGCGGGGGGTGCAAGGAGGGGACTCCATGATGGACAGCCCAGAGATGATTGCCATGCAGCAGCTTTCTTCCCGCGTTTGCCCACCAGGTGTGCCTTACCACCCCCGACAGCCTACATCCCCCCATTTACCTGGCCCTTTTCCACAGGTAGCTCACTCGGCATCAGTAAGTGTGTCAGCCCCCAAGCCTACCTTGGGGAACCCTGGGAGGACACAGGATAACAGTGAAACACAAGAGCCTGAGAATGACCGAGGTAATTGACACCATCATTTTTGTCTGATGTCTGACATTTAAACCATTAATTCATAAGGAATCTTTTTTACAAATATTGTCAGACTTCTTTCCAGCTTCTTGAACTACTCGGGGTTGGGCCAGTCATAGTATTAGTCCAAAGATCTGAAAGGATTTCTAGTAGTAATGAGCCTTACACCGATGTAGTCCTTACTGTACCATGCAGTCTTTTTGAGACTTGTAGATACAGTAAATCAGTTCTCAGAATAAGCTTTGAGATAGCTACTGTTTTATTATACTTGTTTGTACAGATGGAAAATCCGAGGCACAAAGCTATTGGTTGCCTTCGTCTTGCAAGTAAGTGGTGGAGCCGAGATTTGTACCCAGACCCGCTCAGTCCAGCATCCGTACTCTCAACCACTACATCATCAAACTGCCTTTTAAAATGACTGTCTTGAACGTTATCATTATGGAATAAATTTTCAGTACTTTAAATTCTAATTATTTCCATCCTTCTATCTCTGGGACACATATTTATAGCCACTAAGAAGCAAACATTGAAGGGATTTCTTTTTTTTTTTTAAAGATTTTATTTATGTATTTGAGAGAATGAGAGAGAGAGAGAGAGAGAAAGCATGAGGGGGGGAGGGTCAGAGGGAGAAGCAGACTCCCCGCTGAGCAGGGAGCCGGACGCGGGACTCGATTCCGGGACTCCAGGATCATGACCTGAGCCGAAGGCAGTCGCTTAACCAACTGAGCCACCCAGGCGCCCTGAAGGGATTTCTTAGAAATATCATTTAAGAGATTAACCTGAGGGCACCTGGGTGGCTCAGTTGGTTAAGTGTCTGCCTTTGGCATAGGTCACAATCCCAGGGTTCTGGGATCGAGCCCCATGTCGGGCTCCCTGCTCATCAGGGAGTCTGCTTCTCCCTCTGCCCCTCCCCCCAGCTCGTGCTCTCTCTTTCACTCTCTCACTTGCTCTCAGATAAGTAAATAAAATCTTTAAAAAGAGAGAGATTAACCTGAAAATTGAGAAGATGAAAAGAATACTTTGTGTAATTAGTGCTTATTTCTAGGATAGATATCCACCATGTATTGTTATTTTCTTCAATACATGACTGAAGAGGGGCACGTGGGTGGCTCAGTCAGTTAAGCATCTGACTCTTGATTTAGGGTCAGGTCATGATCTCACGGTTATGGGATCAAGCCTTATGTCAGGCTCTGCGCTCAGCGTGAACTCTGCTTTAGAATCTCTCTCTCGCTCTGCCCCTCCCCCCATTTGCACTCATACTCTCTCAATAAATAAATCATTTAAAAAATAGATGACTGAAGAATAGAAACCTGATTTTTTATCAAATATGAATATTCCACATAAAATTGATGTTAGGCCTAGAACTCAGAATTACTTTTTGTTTTTATATATTTATATATTTAGATATCTACTGACACTTTTTTTTTTTAACTATAATTTCACTGTAGTTAACATACAGTGTTACTGTGATTCAACACTTCGATACATTACTCAGTGCTTCATGTAAGTGTGCTCTTAATCCCCATCACCTGTTTCACCCATCTCCTCACCACCTCTCCTCTGGTAACCATCAGTTTGTTCTCTGTAGCTGAGTTTATTTTTTTGGTTTGTCTTTTTCTTTGTTCATTTGTTTTGTTTTTTAAATTCCACATATGAGTGAAATCGTATGGTATTTGTCTTTCTCTGATTTATTTCACTTAGCACTATACCCTCCATCCATGTTGATGCAAATAGCAATATTTCATTATTTTTATGGCTGAGTAATATTACATATATTACATATGTGTGTGTATACACATATATACATACATATATTACATATACATATATATACATACCACCTCTTTATCCATTTATCTTTCAGTAGACACATGCTTCCATATCTTGGCTATTGTAGGTGGTGCTAAACATATGGGTGCATAAATACCTCTTGAAATTAGTGTTTTGTATTCTTTGGATAAATACCCAGTAGTGGAATTAATGGATCATATGGTAATTCTATTTTTATTTTTTTGAGTTACCTCCATACTGTTTTCTAGAGTGGCTGCACCAGTTTGCATTCCCACCAGCAGTGTCCGAGGGTTCATTTTTCTCTACATCCTCACCAACATTTGTTGTTTCTTGTGTTTTTTTTATTTTAGCCATTCTGATGGGTGTGAAGTGACATTGTGGTTTTGATTTGCATTTCCTTGATGATAAGTGATGTTGAGCATCTTTTCATGTTGGCTATCTGAATGTCTTGTTTGAAGAAATAGATGTTAATGTCTTCTGTCCATTTTTATTTGGATTATTTGGTTTTTAGGTGTTGAGTTCTACCAGTTCTTTTTTTTTTTTTTTAAGATTTTATTTATTTATTTGACAGAGGTACACACAGTGAGAGAGGAAACACGAGCAGGAGGAGTGGGAGAGGGAGAAGCAGGCTTCCCACTGAGCAGGGAACCCACTGTGGGGCTCGATCCCAGGACCCTGGGATCATGACCTGAGCCACCCAGCAGGCACCCAATCAGTTCTTTATATATTTTGGATGCTAACCCTTTATCAGATATGTCATTGGCAAATGTCTTCCCCCATTGTCTTTTAGTTTCATTGATTGTTTCCTTTGCTCTGCATAATATTTTTATTTTCATGTAGTCCCAATATTTAATTTTTGCTTTTGTTTCCATTGCCTCCGGAGACCTATCTATCCTCTTTTGCAAGTGGTTGTTCGATTTTCTGTGTACCATTTGTTGAAGAGACTGTCTTTTTCACATTGCATATTCTTGCCTCCTTTGTCAAGGATTAATTGACCATATAATTGTGGGTTCATTTCTGGGCTGTTTTGTTCACTTGATCTATGTGTCTTTTTTTGTGCTGGTATGATTCTCTTTTGATTACAACAACTTTGTAGTATAGCTTGATATCTGGGATTGGGACACCTCCACCTTTGTTTTTCTTCTTCAAGACTGCTTTGCCTACTTGGGATCTTTTGTGGTTCCATACAAATTTTAGGATTATTTGTTCTACTTCTGTGAAAAATGCTGTTGGTATTATGATAGGGATTGCGTTAAATTTATAGATTACTTTAGGTGGCATGGACATTTTAACAATATCTTTTTTTTTTTTTAAGATTTTATTTATTAGAGAGAATAAGCAGGGGGAGGGACAGAGGGAGAAGCAGACTCCCCATTGAGCAGGGAACCAGATGCAGGCAGGGTTCAATCCCAGGACTCTGGGATTAGGACCTGAGCCAAAGGCAGATGCTTAACTGACTGAGCCACCCAGATGCCTCAGTATCTGTTCTTCTACTCCATGAACATGGAATGTCTTTCTTTTGTCTTGTCTTTAATTTCTTTCATCAGTGTTTTATAGTTTTCAGAATATAGGCCTCTCACCTCTTTGGTTAAGTTTATCCTTAGGTATTTTATTGTTTTTGGTGAAATTGTAAATGGGTCTCTGGCAGGCTCAGTCAGTGAGCATGCGACTCTTGATCTCGGGGTTGTGATTTTCAAGCCCCACCTTGGGTGTGGAGATTAATTACTTAAAATCTTTTTAAAAAAAAATAAAATTATAGGGGGTCCTGGGTGTCTCAGTTGGTTAAGCGTCTGTGTTCAGCTCAGGTCATGATCCCAGGATCCTGGGATCGAGCCCCCCCATCTGGCTCCCTGCTCCACAAGGGGCCTGCTTCTCCCTCTCCCTCCATTCCTCCTGCTTTGCACTCTCTCTCTCTCTCTCTCTGTCAAATAAATAAAATCTTTAAAAATAAATAAAAAATATAAAAAATTTAAATTGTAAATGGGATTATTTTCTTTTTCTGCTAATATTAGTATATAGAAATTCAACAGATTTCTGTATATTGATTTTTATACCCTGTGACCCTACCGAAATTTATAGTACTAGTAGTTTTTTCGTGGTCTTTAGGATTTTCTATATGTAGTATCATGTCATCTGCAAGTAGTGAAAGTGTAACTTTTTCCATACCAATTGGGATGCCTTTTATTTCTTTTAGTTGTCTGATTGCTGTGGCGAGGACTTCCAGTCCTATGTTGAATAAAGGTGTTGAGAGTGAACATTCTTGTTTCATTCCTGATCTTAGGAGAAATCTCTCAATTTTTCATCATTGAGTATGATGTTAGCTGTGGGTTTTTAATATATGGCCTTTATTATATTGAGGTATGTTCCCTCTAAACCTGCTTTGTTGAAGGTTTTTGTCATGAATGCATATTATACTTTGTCAAATGTTTTTTCTGCATCTATTGAAATGTTCATAATAGTTTTTAATCCTTTGTCTTGTTGCATCATGTTGATTTATTTGCCCTTGCATCCTAGGAATAAATCCCACTTGATTGTGTTGAATTATTTTTTTAATGTATTGTTGTACTTGGTTTGCTAGTATTCTGTTGAGCATTTTCGTGTCTATATTCATCAGAGATAGTGACCCGTACCTCTCTTTTTTGTAGGGTCTTTGTCTGGTTTTTGTATCAGGGTAATTCTGGTCTTACAGAATGAATTTGGAAGTTTTCCTTCCTCTCCTATCTTTTGGAATAGTTTGAGAAGAATAAGTATTAACTCTTCTTTGAATGTTTGGTAGAATTATTTGCAAAGCTTTCTGGTCCTGGACTTTTGTTTGTTGGAAGGTTTTTCCCAGAATTTCATTGCTGGGAAATGGTCTGTTCTAAGTTTCCATTTCTTCCTGTTTTAGTTTTGGTAAGTTATATGTTGCTAGTAATTTATCCATTTCTTCTAGTTTGTCCAATTTGTTGGCATATAGTTTCTCATAATATTCTCTTACAATCCTTTGTATTTCCGTGTTGTTGGTTGTTATTTCTCTTTCATATCTGATACTGTTTATTTGAGTGCTTTTTTTTGAGTCTGGCTAAAGGTTTGTCGATTTTACTGATCTTTTCAAAGAACCAGCTCCTAGTTTCATTGGTCTGTTGTATTTACATTTTTTTAGTTTCTAATTTGTTTATTACTGCTCTAGTCTTTATTATTTTCTTCCTTCTACTGGTTTG